CTTTGCAGTTATTAATTGAACTGCTTAGAAGTTCTGGAAGTGCAGCAAATTTTATAAAAGTTCGACTAACTTTGTAAAAGTTCAGCAAGCTTTGTAGAATATAATAGAACTTCAGAGAATTTAGTAGAACTAACTTCAGCAAGTTGTATTGTTGAGTACTGACTGAGTACGTGTAGAATAGACTAGACTAGACTAACTTCAGCAAGTTTTATAGAAGTTCTGAGAACTCATTCACCATTATTGAAAATTTGCGAACTTTAGAGGAACTAAGCGATTTTGGAGTTGGGATTTTCTTTAACTTCATTAGACTTTTTAAAACTGCAAGGATATTTTTCAGGGGCATCGTAGAAGTTCAGGAAATTTAATATAAATTCGGGAAACTTCTTCGAGCTTCAGATAATTTTAAGAAATTCAGAGTGCTTTGTTAAAATTCGAGAAAGCTTTGTAGAATTGGGAACCTTGTACATGTATTGGAAATGTCGTTGATGTTTAGGAAATACATATTGTTTAATTTCAAGGCACTTCGTTAAAGTTTAACAGATTTAAAATATTTCGTGAAAATTCAGGAAACTTTGTATAACTTCAAGCACAGAGAACAGACGTCTAACTTCAGTCAGAAACTTAAGTGGGAACAACGCCGTTATGTGGCACTAGCATCTCCAGGTTTTCTCTATATTTTTTCCACTTTCGAGCAATTTGAAGCTAGTGTCGCTCAAGTTTTCGGTTGAAAATTGCCACTCGGCGCTAACGGCACTTAGTGTGTTGTGTAAATTGCAGGGCTGTTACAATATTTTCTAAATTTGATCCGCAAAATCCGCGATTTCTCAAAAGAAAACTGCGACTTCAAATACTAATCCGCGACAGAAAAAACTGTTTTCATTGCCTAAAAATAGCATTTGTATACTACTACATGGCATGTCAAGCCAAATTAACCTTCGCGTCTCTGACGTATTTTGTTGTTCTTAATGTTGTAGTTAATTTGGCTCTAGTTTTCTCAATTTTTAAGCGATTCAAACCAAACACCCTGCACATCACATAATCGAAAGATTACCAATTCTTTCCAATGTTGTGACATTTTAATTATTTTTTTCTAATATGACTTTTCGTTGTCAAATCATAATCGAATCGTATATGGTGGGCGTTGGCCAGATTTGGATTTTTCAGATATAATCCTAAATAGGACCTAGATTATTTAATACTCTAGTAACCTCAAGTCCGTGCTCTGTCACAATGTTTCATTGTGATTAATCAACACTCAAAGGGGTAAAATATCAAATTTGGGGTGAATTTGAAGAAAGGGAACTTGGAGTGTAGAGCGCACTGCCCACTGGACGATTCTGAAGCCTGGCCAAGTGAGTGGGGTATGGGTTTATTTGATTGAACGTCATTTCCAATGTATATATTGATACATTCAAACCATTGGCATTTGAGATAAGACAGAGATAGGATGCGGAGGGCCCGCTTAGGGGAAGCGTAACCCATGTTATGGTTTCCATTTATTAAATAGTTCAGATAGGCTGGAAATGACAGGTTCATAGTGAGAAAATGTACCATATGGGGCCCGTTCACTGATCAAAATTAGATTCACATCGTCAGACCCTGCCCAAGAATAAGGGGATTGACGATGTCTTGTCAAGTTTTATTTTGAATTTGCGTTTTGCATTTAATACTCTAGTAAATCTCGCGTCCGTGCTCATTCACAACAGTGTGATGTGTCAATACTCGCTGGGTTATATGTCTTAGACCAGTTCCAGATTAGTTTGCTATTAATATCTTCTGCATCGCAGTTCGCGATAGATTACTAAATATGGGTTCTCTTTTCCGACTATAATAGTGTGAGGGAAGGGGGTGAGTTAAACGTTGCGATATGAGAGCGAATAGAGGCAAATAAATAGGGAAGACAACACCATGACCCAAATAAGTAACCAATGCATGCGGCTCACACTTAACTTGTTCTATTTCTTTCTTTCTTCCTATCATGTACTAATATTAACTGCCTGAGGACAAATGGGAACACGACCAGAAGATCAATAGGAGAAAAAGAAAATTCGAACAAGAAAAGAAGAATTAAACTTGCACCGCAGGAAGCAGACAGAAAGGATCATGCCGGTTGGAGACAGCCAATGTATACTGGACGAAGCTTGTATCTAGGAAAAGTCGTATGTGCAGGAAACCGTAAGTAGGGTAAGAATCGTAAAAGGTGTGTGCTTGCTTGATAAGATCCTAACTTTACTTTAAATACACGGTAGGAATCGAATATCCATTTATGATTAAGGTTTTTCAGTGGGAGTGGCAATACTCATTGATGAGTGATTTATCGTACCCATTTATTAGTAACTGTTAGCAGCTAATGATTAATTGATTTACCTATTTTAGAATTACCTATACTTCACATCAGAACCTCATTTCCTTCAATTACTACTCCGTCGCAGCACACACCTTATATGGATCGCTAACCTTTATTTAGTTTCAGCATTTTCGACATTATAATCAAAAGGTGAGTTTTAAAAGTATAATTACCATGCATATAGATAAGTTAATGTACCAGAACCTGGACGGACACGAGCCTACCCAGTGGAGGACATAAAAATCTGAAATCTGAAAAAATAATCTGATCTCCAGAATGACTTCAGAACCTATAACATCTTGTATACGTAGCAATAGGTCGGGTACAATCCACATAGACACTTGGAATCTGTTCGGACATGTTTCAATACTACAGACATTATTGGAGTCTTGGTTGATATAGTAGAACAAATAAACTGAACTCCAGGACGATTTGAAGAACCTGGTATACATGGCAATTACTCGCATAGATACGATTCGTTTATGATTTGACAACTAAAAATGCTATGTTCACATTGAAAAAAAAAAAAGGAAAATGTCTCACATTGGACAGACCTCACGTAGTTTCCGTGTAAATCTAGTGTGACTTATGGAATTGAGATCATTTCTCGATTATTTGCAGGATGTTTGGTTTGAACCGGTAAAAATTGAGAGCCAAAATGAACAACAAAATTAATGACAGCAAAATAGTCCGGGACAGAAAGATTACAATGAATCCCACAATTTTTGTGACAGCACATCAGTCCCTTCGCGATTTTCGCGACATTATTTAATGTTTCCGCGATTTTCGCGACTGAAAGTTCAAATCCGCGATAAATCCGCGAAAATCGCGAAATCCGCCAAATTCTTGTGTGCAATGGGAATACTAGTTTTTGAAGAAATTTTGCTCGAGCCTCAACGTCTATTCTCTGGCTCAAGGAACTTCGCAGAAAATAAACGAACTCTGAGAACTTTGTAGAAGTCAAACAAAAAATTCAAGGAAATTCGTGAAACTTATTGAAGTACTAGAATTTGTTCAAGGGAGTTCGTAGCAGTTCAACCAAAAATGTAGATGCACCGCGAACTTCAGAAGTTCAGAGAATATTTTACTTCAGGTTTTATATGGGATTTTGCTGGAAGTTTTAAGATTTTTATTTCGACAGGTGTTTAGCAAAATTCGTCCTCCAAGGTCCTTCCTGGAGTTTGGAGAAAGTCGTAAACGTTCTGAGATCTTGGTCAAATTGAGATAACTTGGAAAAAGTAAATATGGAACTTGGAAGAAGTTCAATTAGTAAAGAAAAGGGACTTTACTAATACTATTAATGACAGACTAATTGGAGGTGAATGAACAACCATTTAAACCCTCTTAAATAAACAAAACAAAACAAAAAGTAAGGAACATTGGAACAATTTTCCGCCCCTCTGGAATGTTTTAGTGGCAAATGCCACCTTCTACACATGCTGAACACGGAGTAGAGTGCGCTTTTGAAAATAAGGCTTCCTATGACCTTAAACTACATTATGTTTTTATTTAGAGATCGTGTTATGTTTATTTAAATGTTTTGTCCATTTTCGTTTAAAATGGTCAAAAATTGAAAAAAAAATCCGATAGAACTTCCGCCAAATATCCGTTTAAAATGGTGACCACTTTTATTAGAAGTTGTTATGTTCAAATGTCAGCACTTTTTGTTGAACCATTGAAGGTTATGGTTGATTTCGTTAAATGATTTTCTCTTGAAATTGAGCCAAGCTTTTTTATTACAAATTGTGATCGTTTCATTGGAAAATGGGGCTAATAACGATTTCCGATGGAAATTATGATTTGAAAGTTATGACTGATTTAATCACAAGCTCTGTAATTTCATTCGAAAATGTGTTTTTATGCGGTCCCATTAGAAGTGCCTGCCGATTAAGTAACGATTTTGGAAATTTTTATTAAATGTATTCTCCTATTCCACAAAATTTATATTTAATTTGATTATTTAAATTTACGTTCATACAGCAAATACTTGAATCTGTGAAAATATCTTAAATATCTTCAAAAAAATCAATCAAGAAATTTGATAGTAATATTTCATGACATATTCAAGCTTAAATGTACGAAAACTATCTTTATTTAAGCATTTAATGAACCGGAATTGATTGAAGTACATTTTTACTGTATTTTGTTTGAATCGGAGTCGAAGCAGGTTATTTTCAAATCAAAGGCACCGGAGCCGATCGATTTAAATCCGACTGCACAGCCGTTTATACTCTGGTAGGTTTTATCGGATATGAATAGCGCTGCTAACAATACTCAGCGGTAAAATAGAAAATAGCATGATGTGAATAGATAATGTGAAGCTTATAAAACGTGGCAGTTTACGGTGAGCTGAAAATGCCAGAAGAACGGAAAGTGAAAATATTATTCAACCGAGAATCCGGACGAGGTCGTCGACTCCGGAGCTTACCTCGAATACGTTGGCTTTTTGCAACTGAGACGGCCGTCTCAATGACTGGAAGCGACTGGACATAGATTCAGCGAATTGTAAAAGTATCAAGTAAGTTATATGCGCAGTCGTTGACCAAAAACTAACATTCAAAACAATTGAGGTGGCAGTATTGGTCTAACGAAAAGAAAACTAAATCTCTGGGATGTCTCAGCAATGTTTGATTACAAATATCAGTGTACTTACCTTGCACCACTCCCGAGCTTTCTGTGTGACGGTTGTTACATTTTTCTCCGAGCACCAGAGTGCCCCCATAAACGCACCGATACTTACACCGCCAACCATATCAATAGGAATGCCGGCCTCCTGTATGGCTTTGAACATACCTACATGAGCAGCACCACGGGCTCCACCTCCACCCAGCACCAAACCGACGGAATTGCCCGTCAACCATCTCGCCAGACGAGAGAAATCAGAATGAATATTCGGCTCCGACATCAACACCTTACTGTACAAGTCGTTCTGAAAAGTAGACGAGTGGATCAAACAACGTTGTGGAAATTTAAACATCCTTCGTCTTACAATTCGGTATTGACTTCTTCTCGTGAACATCCTCTTAGGGCACTGTATGTGATGATGTCGCGAAACCCAGGCTCGCATATTCAGCCAACTGGTAGTGTTTGTTGGACGTGCAGCGCCTTCATGATGTAGAAGAACCAATTCCTTAGCGGTACGTATCGCAAGTCTATCGATCTCTTTTTCGAGTTTTCCAATGGTAGGTGGCCTATCGCCCAACCCGACAATCACTATCACGTCGGCCTGTCGCAAGCAGCGCTGCGTCCACGGACCAAACGTTAAATCACACTGATACAGTGCAATGTTGTGGCGGTCTTCCTGCTGGCCAAGCCAACTAGTGAGCCGGTATTCGTTAGATTGATCCATAATCTGAGGACCGAGAGTTTTCCGTACGACATCTGATGTAAGCCTCAGCGTTGAACCAATAGCACACAGAGAGTGGTAAAGTTCATAGGTGAACGCAGTGAGGGGAACATCTTCGCTGATAGGGACGATGGCCACAGTGGAGTACCGATGTTGAATCTGTTGGCTCGTATCAAACGGGACTGCTGTTATAGAGCTTCCCGTAATTGGTCTAGCTTGCATTGATCCCAGAATTCTATGGCTCAGTAAACTAATCAACTGGGTTACCACTATCGGATACTTGAATTTAATTGCATTGAAAAGACCTTCTGGCAGTTTGGCCAGTTCAGAATCACGCACCGCCATCACAGTTGTTGTGCGGGGTGTTTCCGTGATCATCTCAACGATGCCGATTAAGTCTCCTTTGCCGTACTCTCCTACAATCTCCTTCTTACCATTCGAGTGAGTTATGACCGAGCGTAGTCGACCGTTTAGGACGATATAAGTGCAATCGCTGTTTTCATCCTGACGATAAACAGCACGACCGGATTCGAGGAAATTCCAATCCAATGCAAAGTCACACTGACGCACCAGCGGAGACAGACGCTTCACCACACTGTCGGCAATGTCTAGGACGACAGCCGGACGTTCGCGCATTATGCTGAAATGATAAGAACCGCACATATGTCACATAGGTCTACTGCAGCTTGACTACCTTCCTCAACTTACTTATAGATCACCTCTTTACAGAGCAACCCCACACGAGAATAGTGTTTCGCTTTGATTGTATACAAGCTGCTTTCACCGGTGAGCACCGCCAGACCACCAACCACATCACCGGGATGAATTGTAACGGTATGATTTTCCGATTTGTCCAGCTTTTTGTTGCACCCGAGATTAATTTGCGGATACTGGGCTATTGTCAAGCCACCGCTGATGACGAAAATCAACAAAACGTCCTGAAATAAAAGACGAGTTGTATTTTTTGCCAAATAAGCTGCAACTAAAAATACATACATCGTTTCTGCCTTGATGCGTCAACGTGGTTCCCGGAGCAATCTCTTTTATAACAATATTGTCTTCTACAAATGGTTTATCTTCATCCTTCAGTCCGAGCTCTTTCAAAAATCCTTCAATGGCAATGGATTTCATTACGGTATCCTCCATTGGTTCACTTGGTAGTGCCGATGCACGTCGACTGCCGATATGATCGGACAAATCTGCCAACATATCCGGTCTGGCGTCACCCGTTACTGTGTGGCCAACTAGCGAATGGGATGGTGCTTGTACATCCGACGGTACACGACGATGGCCGGGGCTATTTTTCATCGGCACTGTCACTTTCTTACGCTGTGACGAACACTACATTTAAGGTCAGAAGTTTAGCAATTTGTTAGAAATGTTTCGGAACTTCAATTTCCTACCTGTATATACTCCGTGCTCAGTCCCAGATAGTTGTGTAAAGCCGTAATTGTAACGCGTTGTAACCGAATCATAATGACCTGTATGACTCTGACAAGCAAATCTGGGCTTTCATCGAACACTTCCTTGAAGGCAAACATTGGCAAACGGATCACTTGAGAATTTTCTATCGCTCTTGCTGTAACCGTTTTATATTGACTAGTATTACCCTGCAAAAGAAGATGCTCAATTCAATCAGGGATGCTACTTGAGCCATAAAACGCAAAATACTTACAACTAGCACATCGATGAAGCTCAGCAACGATGTTACTGATTCGCCCTTGCGAACTACTTTCAATGCAATAGAACTGCCATCCGGATTGTTCAGAAATACATTGACTTGTCCCGATTGCACGATAAATACACTATCATCCGGATCGCCAACCTTTATCAACGACTCGCCGGCGATCAAATTGATGATTTCGGTGTGTTTGCAAATCTTCAAAAAGACCGGCTTCTCAAAGTGACCAAAAATTCGAATGCTTTGCAGCATGTACAGTGCATCGGGAGGGACTTTATCATTCCATTCTGCTGCTTCTTCCAGGTACTCGGCCGGTGGCTCAACCACCTGCAGCTGAATCGGATCATTTTCACGACGTATATGGAGAAGCCGCTTGGCGAAACGCATAACTGCCTTCCGCTTTCTACCCTGGCCACTGTAAGCCTGACCAGAGATGGACTTCATCTTACGGAGCATCCTCCGACCATAAAACAGCATTTTGTCCCGCTTCCGGAAACGCAACTGGGAAGGATCATGGCTTTGGAATAGCAACTGAGCCGCTTTGTCACGGAGTTCTGCACATGTATAAAACAATAATTTAGGTAATTAGGTACAAGGAAAAAAATCAGACTCCATCGCTCCACTCACTTTTCAAATAGATTCGCCTCCAGCAGTAAAGTCCTACTATCGTCGCAATCAGCAGTAACAGCAAACTCAATGACCAAGCGAACTGTAACGAAACCAGACAGAATGTAAATCAGGGTGGCGACTTTTAGTTCAGCTTTACAATTAAATTCAATAAAATATAATACTACTGCCACTACGACTGCCTGTGGGAAGAAGACATGCGGAATGTAATACTGGTAATATGTTATATTATTCCTCACCTCTTCCGCAATGATTGTGTACCACGAATCCTTCAGTATCGTTCCGTAATCCGAGTAGGACCGCTTGACCAGTCCGACGATATCCATTTTACGGCTAGGAAATGTTGCGAGCGGATACTCCTCAAATGGTTTTTAACAAAAACAAAATAACAGCTGGTGGAGAATAAGGCAAACTCCTTCAGACATGGGCAATTTTTTTCATGATTCCTAGCTAAGTGATTTTTGCTCCCGCAACGCAATTTATACGCGTTAAACTATCACCATCGAACGAGATCAGTATCAGATAATGATTATCTAATGGAAACGGGAAGAAAAATACACTTTCTACTACTATTTTCGCTAATTTTCACACTTGCGAATAATCAAACTTTAAACGCAACAAGGATTTTCAGTAAAAGACATCAAAAAGAAAAAAAAAGTGACAAGATAACGGCCAACAAAAAGCAGAAGACAACTGTAAACATTGAAACGAGGGATCAGCCACTTTTGTGTTTTGTGTTTATACCAGGGTGGCCAGAACTACCGATTTAAGCCTGGTACGCAGCTGAAAAGTAATGACGTTTTTACGTGCTACGGAATAGGACACGGAATGCTAAAGAAATTTCTTTTAATTAGCATTTCTTGACCCAGTACGCAGTTCAAAAGAAATCGGCAAAGGAAAGATCGATTACATTAGTATCGTGATCGACATGAAGATGGCGCATTCTGAATGCAATTTCATTTTGCTTGCGGAATAATGGTCTGACCAATTATTCCGTTAGGTAATTTTAACGTTTGTTGTATAAATGATGTTTTGGATGCATTTTAACAACATAAAAATTGATAATTGTTGATTTTAAAATTAGGCGACACCTACCTATGATCTCAAAATTTAGCAAAAGACACCTCCCTATAGCTGTCAAATTTACTTTTGGGAATATTCCTCAAAAATTACTTTTCCGTTTTCTTTTCAGCTGCGTACCAGGCTTTATCGGTCGTCCCACCGATTTTCGGGATGCGTACACTGATAAATTAAACTATTCACATTTTTCTTCAAATTTAATCAATTTAACATTAAACTTAGTTTAATCATATCGAACACATTAAGATTATTTTATCGAAATCTGTGAAATTTTACCGATATCTCAACAGCTGAACGTGCGGTAAGCAGTTCGGTGATTTTTCACAGATTTCCAGTAATTGTTCACAGATATTCGGTTATCTGAGGATATCTGTGAAATATTACCGAACTGATAACCGAAAGTTCAGCTGTTGAGATTTCGGTGTGAATGATTAAAAATTAATACTCTCTTTCTAAAAACTAATCGTCTGATATTATATCCAGTTTAATCATGGTTGATTAGATTGAAAATTATCTTTTTTATATAAATTTAAATTAATATTGATTCTATTTTAAAAATTTTTTTTTGCATTTTGATCTTTTTTGATTATATATTAAAATTTAATACTGGAAAGATTGTTTCGAATTTAATCATGCATGACTACTGCCGAAGTAATCATGGCTCGGACTCAATAAGGTGGAGCGGGAATCTCGGCGAGAATCTGCATACTTTTTAAGTTTTTTTGATTTAATTTATCTTTGAGTGTACACTAAAAATAAATATATTCCAGATATATTCAAATCTATATAGTATAGAGATTGCTAACGTTTATCGTACGCACACTATGTCACGTATACGTATACACGCAAAATGTTTTCATCGGAAAAAAACTGCATAGTGGAAAATTTTCCCGATGAAAACAAATCACTGACACAATCACTCTTCAGCAATCTCTATAAAAGTTACACTATAAATCGCAACTCTCCTTCCCAACACATAATTCGGTATAAAGAGAGCGAAAACAAATTTATACCCTGGACAGACTATGGCTTATATCATGTAATATAGACTGTCTTGCAATGAGCACTCATACATAGGATTTCCAGTGAAAACTAGATGTATGAGTGCTCATTGCAAGACAGCCTATATTACATGATATAAGTCATAGTCTGTCCGGGGTATTAGTATGAAAATGCTTTATACCCCTAGGGGCATCTCACTCTAAACTTTAGACCTAGTATCAATTAAATATTTTTAAATTCCTCGTAAGTATCGTAAGTATTTTTAAGTATTTTTTCACTAAGATTATATTTTCATCATAGTAACACTTGTTTTTATGACGTGTTGCTAGTGGTTTGTTGTTGATTTTTTTTGTTATATCGAGTCGTTCGTCGTGTATTTATTCAAATTCATATGAAAACTCTTGTTAATGGGTGGATATTTGTATTATGTCTATGAAATAGTATTACTAATTTCTATTTTTCAACCATTCAAAATGTTAAAATGCAAAGGTCAAGATCGACGTAGCTACAAAAAACGATGATTTTCAATCGTTGGCATGAGATGCACCCGAGCATAAATTATGAGGTGTCTAATGATCGAGAGAACACAGATTGTTCATTGGCTTACATAAACCCCTTCGGTGGACAAAGATCCTACTGATGAATATTTATTTCCACAAATGGATACTACCTCTACCTTCCTAGCAGCAAATCATCTGACTAAGTAGTTTTTTTTTTGCAGTACAGTTGAGGAACTAAAAGCAAGCTCAAGATGCCGAAAAAATCATGTCACATAATATTCCTAAAGAAACCAAGATGACCAAGCGAATGGGTAGTGGAGGAATGGGTCAGGAGGGTCAAAACGTCTGATCGAAAGCAAAAATAAAGTTTATCAACTATCGAGTTTCTCAATTAACGAATATGTTCTATTAAAATTCTAATACCTATTACAATTAAACATTATATTGCTTGTTTCTATTCTACATAGGAAATCCTTAAAGTTAAATCCAACTATTTTAATCATTCCCATAATTGTTTCATGTTATCGTTTGACCATTATACTCCAACTATTAGTTAATCACCAGATCATGCAACGAAAGTATAGAGTTTAAAATCGATATAGGATATAAACCATATCCTCCTGGAAAGTTAAAAAAAGAGCTGTGCTGAAAACTAAAAATGTTTCAAACACGCTCCACCTTTGGTTCTAAGAAGATATCTTGCTTCGATGGTATCCAGCCTTGAAGATTTTTTATCTTCTGGAATAAACATGTTCTACATTTAAAAGGTGAGAAGCTACGAGATCCGGGTCCGCACCATAGTATGGTGTGAAAGGTTTTACCACTTCCGATTTTACTTAGGCTACTCCCCGTAGTTATCGTTTGACGGGAAAGAACCTAGCGGACGGAAAGTACAAATATATCCCCTATTATAACACAATACTCACATGGATATAAGGAATACAAATGATAGAAATCAAACCGAATGAGCAACCAACAAAAGGTTCCCATGTAATTCAGATCAAAATGATTTCTTTCTGGTTCCAATCGAACAGATTACACCGGAAACGGTTCGTGACATACAGCTGCTCTGCTCACTCTCTCAATAAAATTAATGCTAATTCCATAACAAATTCGCCAATATCCACACAAACCTTCCTGACATTGGATAAACAAACAAATTAAATCGGTATAGCAACCAAGAAAATAAACTAACGCTAGATATTTCTTAAGTATTTTTAGGTATTTTCAGGTATCTTAGATATCACTTAGAACTTTATTTGTATATGAGGGAAAATACAAAGTTTAGAGTGGGATACCCCTAGTTATACCCCGTTCACATTACAGCCTATATCACGTAATATAGGCTGTCTTGCAATGAGCACTCATACATAGGATTTCCAGTGAAAACTAGATGTATGAGTGCTCATTGCAAGACATCGTATATCATGTGATATACGCTGTAATGTGAACGGGGTATTATGCATATGACAGTAACTTTGGGTACTTGTCGCTCAGCAAGCTTCTGCGCAAAGTCCGCTTTACCTCAGGGTAGCCATCTGGGACCATTGGTATTTCTCCTCTACTTCGACGACGTTCACCATGTTATCACAGAGCCACGATTATCGTTTGCAGACGATCTGAAAGTTTTTCTGCGCATCCGCTCACTCGCCGACTGCTGTTCTCTCCAAAATCAGATTGACATCTTTGCTGACTGGTGTAGTCTAAACCGACTGGTGGTCAACCCAGCTAAGTGTACAGTTATTACTTTCTCACGCAAGAAACAACCGATTATTTTCAACTACAAGCTACTAGGCACGACTATCGAACGGGTGCACTGCGTGAAAGACTTAGGCGTTTTTCTAGACTCAAAGCTGACATACTCTCACCATAATATATTATATCGTATGTCGTCGACAAAGCGTCCAGAACGCTTGGCTTTGTCTTCAAGATTACTAAGAACTTTACATGTGAACATGTTCAACCTCGATCACTACGCAACAGTCTTATGCTAAGACTTCTACTTCTTCGAACTAATTATAGCATAGGGAGCGCTATTTATGGCTTGCAGCTAGTGTTCAACCGAGTAGCATCGATGTTCGATTTCCACTTGACACGGATTATGCTTCGCCGAAGATTCTCTGCCTTTTTTGCTGACCGAAGGCGCTTGATGCCCAACAGTTAAGTGTAAAATTTAAGACTTGACAATGCTTTCCTAGTTATTTTCGTTTGTAACTGTAGTAACTGTAGTATATGTATGTCGTCTGTATAATCTGTACTTTTTTTACAACACATCATTTGGACTATTTCTAGTCTGTTGATGCAACCATAACAAATAAACAAACAAATAAATAAACAAATTATGCATAGATAATATAAAGTGCAAGTAATCTTTCGATGCTTTCAAGGAAATTATTTACTTTTAGATTTTAATGTTGCTGTCATTTATATTTGTCGTTTATTTTGTTAAACGTAAAAGGAGCAAAAAATCAGGAAAAGATCTTTACATTATTTTATTTGACTTGTAATCAAACTTATCCTACCTGCATAAATGCGAACCATTACTTGACCTTACCGGAAATGGTTAAAATTTGTTTATAATTCCTGCTAAACTTTAACGGAAACAGTTCTGTAACTTTACATGAACGTTTGTGTGATAAAGTTTTAACGTTATGTATTATGTTTTTTTTTTGTAGTGGACCTTACAAATAATGGATTGTTAACAACCATTACCATTCCAAATTCTTGTTTTCTCCATACATTTTTGGGAAAGGAATTTTATTGGAACCATTTCATATATGATTTGATAACTTTAATGGTAAAGGTTATGGTAGTCGCTAAGGTTCATACATGGTTTTGTACCATCGATCAACTTTATGTGGAATATATCGCGAATTGGTTGCCTGCACTGTAAACTGGAAAGTACCCATTAATGGGTACTTTTGAAGTAAAGTAGGTTAACCCTCGGGTTAACCCATTTCCTGGGTAAAAAAAACATTAATGCGGGTATCTAATACCCATAAATGAGTAATTTTTACCC